CCCAAATGGAAGCCACAGAATCTTGCCCGCTTCTGCCTTGATCTTGTTGATATATTCTACCAATAGATCCTTCTTGTCGGGAGGGCAAAGAATTGTCCAATTCAGTAACAGCCCAGAAATCCTAAAAAGGAGCATTTCCATGCTTCTCCAACCAGTTTTCTAAAAACAAATGTGTGTTCCATATTTAATATTTAACTAGTATTAGTCAAAATGGAAATATTACAAGACGACATTGGCATCCCACAAATTCATCATGTCATAGTTGTGTGTGTTAGACAAGGAGCATGTAACTGCACAAGAGCAGGCTCCAAGAGTTATTAACTGTGCTGTCAGAATTTATAAGCTGTCATGTTTGCCCAGCGCTGAATATTCTGTATAATCTGGTTGAAGTGTTCAAACAGATGAATTAGTTAGCTATAATAGTTTTGGTTATGTTTGTTATATTTGGAACTTGTTTTGAATTGCTGCATACTAAGCTATTTAATTGTTATTTCTATTCTAAATATAGCTTGTAGTCCTTAGGTCTCCTGATACAATGATCAATGCTCCCACCATTCTTTGATTCATCAAGGTCCGGAAGTAGAATTTTGGTTTCGGGGAACTTCCAAATGCAAGGACCTTCTCTCCAGGTGCTGGTGTAACGTTGAGGATACAGAAGTGAAATATTGGTTCAATGGATATTCCAAATGCAAGGATCTTCTCTTCAGGTGCTCGCGCAGCGTTGAGGATACTGAAGTCCTTTGTGAAGTGAACATTTTCCAGCCCTGCCATCACCTATCTAGTGAGTGTGTCAAATAATTAAACTTGTCTCGTTTTGCTTGATTCCCTGTATTTAATGTACCAGTGAGTTTCACTAGTAACCTTTCCTTAGAGCAAGGTTAGTAATAAAGCCAAGTGCTTGGCTATAAGTCAAATTATAAGAGCTAAGCTATACAATAGTTAGTCTTTTATTTGTCTACAAACTTTTTATATTGTTATATATTTTCATTCTCTTTCATATTGCTCCTCACATACATCCATATTGGGACCCACTACTACCTATGCTTCTATGCCCAGCTTGGTGCTTGCATGAGAGCCAAGCTCTCTTCTCTCTCCTTCCTTCTCTCTTTCACATCAGCAAAAATATTAATTAGCTTGGCTATAAACTAATTATTGTACTTGCTCTTAGACCTCCTCCAATGGTATGAGCCAGTACCTAGCTCTAAGCACTCTTAGAGACAACCCTTCCAATGATTTAGCTCTTAGCACATAGCTCATAATATAAATGACCCCCACACGCCATGTCCACGTAATCTTGGAGTGTATGCATGAGACTATCTCTTGATCAAGAGATAGCTCTTCGCTCTCCTATTAAAAAATATAAGAAAATGTTCTTTGAGCTAGTTACAAATCTGTCTTATATGCTTGGCATCTACATTGCACTTATTGTTGCACAAAATCTCGGAGATAAGACCATGTAGGACATAGCTTTGAAATGAGATTCTTCAATTTGGTCCTTTTTTTAGCAACATGCATGGTTGGACTGTGTCTCATTTGTTTTGTCGTTTTTAATCTGAAATTTGTGTAGGGCGAGAAGAATTCAACCACGTTGTCGAGGCTCCACACCTGCTAATGAGTGCTTCCTGGTTCCTGTGAATACCTGAATACAGCCATGTCTTGCCAACGCGTCGAGCGTGATTTTCTTTGAGCAGGGATTAGTATGAACTGTGACCGGTAGCCAAAAATATACATGGAAGGAGTAGTAGCTTGTGGCATGTTAGTGAGCTCACACCTGCTGTCATTGGTATGTTTTTTTTTTTTTGATACATTGCCACCTTGGTCTGATGTCATGAAAACTATGCGAGATAGATGTCGTGACCCACAAGACACAAAGTGTTGTGGCTCAAACGACCAAGTGGCTTTTCATGGAAATTTTTTACACACCTCATATTATGACCCTAGGATTTACTTTGTCTTTAGATCTAATGGTGCACAATCCATATAACGGTGGGACATTAAAGTCGCGTAAGTCGTAGAAGGACGGGCGACGTCTCCCTCGCAAATTTTTTTCACCCATCCGCCACACGAGAATTTTTATTTTTTAATCATTTTTAATCGCACTTGAATTTTTTTTGCGAATATAACCCTTTTAGTCGCGCCGATGCCGCTGGCGCGACCAAATAACGTTGTCGTGCCATATGCATTGGCATGACAACACCTGCCATGTTAGACAACGTTTTCGACGTGGAAAACCTCGTCGCGCCACTCCTGTTGGCGCGACACCGGGAGTGGCGTGACAAAGCTCAAATTTTAAAAAATCATAACTTTCGATACGACGTCGGATGAGGATAATTTTTATATCAAAATTATAGATCTCGATAAGATATACAACTTTCTAGTTTTGAGTTTTTTCATTTGAGGACATTAAGATGCTCAAAAAAATATATAATTTCAGCTGCATAATAATCGCGTACTGTCGCTTGTCGCATTAGAAAAATAGTATCCTCTTTGTATGGGGTCAAATAAAGATACTTTTTATATCAAAGTTGTAGTGCTCAATAAGATCTACAACTTTATAGTTTTGAGTTTTTACATTTGAGGCCGTTAAGATGCTCGAGAAAATAATATAAAATTTCAGCCTAGGTATACTGCTAAAATATTATATAATTTTTTTAGTATCTTCACATCCTTAAATGGGAAAACTCAAAACTAGAAAGTTGTAGATCTCGTCGAGATCTACAATTTTCGTATAAAAATCATCCCCGTCCAACGTCGTATCGAAGAATTATGATTTTTCTAAGTTTAAGCCTTGTCACAACAATACTGTTACGCCAAACGGAGTGGCGCGACAAGGTTTTTCATGTCGAAAACGTTATCTAACGTAGCAGGTATTGTCGCGTCAGTGCACGTGACGCGACAGCGTTATTTGGTCGCGCAAGCGGCACCGACGCGATCAAAATATTTTTAGGTGTGATTAAAATATTAAATAAAAAAAATTAAAATATAAAAAATTCCTCCGCCACATACCTGCCCACGCCGCCACGCCTACCCACCCACCGGCAGTTTCCTTTTTTTTTCCCCCGCTCCGATCCGTGGTGCGCCGCCTGGTCCCTACCACCCGTGGTTCGCGTGGCGTGGCATCCTCGCCCGCGTCTGCCCCGTCGTCTCCCCGCGGGGGCCGTGCCTCCTGGGACGGGTGAGACGAGTTACGTGCTTGCTATGACCCCGTCGTCTCTCACGCTTTCCCTGCATTCCATCTACGTGTTTATATGCTACCAAGTACCGACAGCTGGTCATTGCGAATTTGGTGTTGCGGTTTCCTGCTGTCCATCGCTTTTTCGTTTTATTTGGACGGGGCTTTGCCGAACAATTCAATACCACTGCTATATTAAACATTAGTGCTCCATTGTTGTGAGACATAGATTCATATATCATATTGAAATATGCCTGTTTACAATTATGATGTTATATCACATAATGACATAATAATGGAGTAATTGTTGGATAAAGCATAAAACCTCCTCCTAACGAGATGGAATACACCTTGTGATTTCCAAACGAAGACAGAGTATCCCTGACTCTGGCTCCTTCGGAGGAGCCCTGCCAAATGCTTTCTTGATCTGTTTTTCAATAAAAAGCAGAGGAGCCGGCTCTGTCTCCTCCGGAGAAGTCCCTCAGGAGGAACCGTGCCCAGCACCCCCTTAATACATGTTTTTTTTAATAATTGCGTCTCAGTGTTTGTTTCTCCTGGGTTGAACATGAATCCTTACGCCTGTTCAAGACGTCAGCTGTTGGTACTTGGGTTGCAATTGAGTGATTGGGGGAAGCTGATTGGCCAGAAGCATTGTTGGTCAACCAATGGGAAACAATGAACCTAGCACACCCTCCAAGGCTTCAAAGGCATCTCGCCAATCTCAATAGGGTTTCATGAGAGTTTTATGGGCATTAAATATGCTGACATGTCACTGTATTGATGAAGAGAGATGATGAAAGTTTCATAGGAGCAAAGATAGTTTCATGAGGATCAAACTCTTCTGCACTATTTCTAAAATATGAGTACGTCGGTAACTGAGCCATGAAACACCCATTGAGACTAGCCTCGGAACAAGTACTTGAAACAGTGATAACACACTTTTACATTCTTAAATGGCATTGTTAGTGTTTAACTGCGCTCCTATTATTTTCCTAAAGAGATAATGGTCAATTTTTAAATTTTTCAAAAAGATAATGGTCATTTTTTCCCCTAGGGCAATAACCTTAGGGTACTTAAATTACTGGTTATAATGACTTTTTTTTTTTGAATACTCATATGGTTTTGCTGTGCCCAAATTTGGAAACGTGTCGAATAAGTATGACATGATATGAATTGATGCTTTTATGGACTAGTAATAAAGAATAGAAGTACACTCGGCCTTTCTCAGATTATGTGGCACAGTTACTATTTCAAATCCAATTGGGGCTTTTAAGGCTGACGCAATCTTGCTATTAAAGTTGAAGTACACATTTGTTTAGGCAGCATTTGAATGGCACTTTCTGCCTAATTCTGAGTTACAGTTACATAGGTATTTTCTTCCATTGACAGAAGGAAATATCCATCGAGGCCAAAACACAATTATCCCGTTTCTATTGTGACAAAACATGATGCTTTGTTTCTTATTACCTCCCTATTTTCAGGATCAACCTCCAGCTATCACATCCAGTGGAACAGCTTCAGTTTACCTTGATCTCGAGGCGATTCAGACCCCTTGTACCACTACTAGTAGCTCTACATTATTGAAAACCGAACGTTTGACTAACGAGCTACCGCTGGACATGTTGAATGCGCTTGCTTGGCAATGGTCAATGCAGCCACTGAATGAGATGATGTTGATTGACCATTCATTCATTCATTGATGTATGTATGCAGTGCGGCAAATCTGCGAGCTGACACTGACAGACTGATGAAATGTGTGAATGTGTTCCCTCGCCTTCCGTTTTCATCCCTTACTATTGGACGTTCCGACACTCGTACCTTGAATCCGATGGTACTCGAGTATTATCATCTCAAAAGATTAAACCAAAGCACAACATGGCAAGTTTGTTTAGCAACTGTCAAAAGATTAAACCAAAGCACAACATGGCAAGTTTGTTTAGCAACTGTTATCATCTTCATTCACTCCACGTGTGAGATATATCCTCTTCTCCCTCCGTCTCTATCGCTGTGGGATCAATGCTGATCAAATTTTTTTAGTTTGACTAAGTTTATAAAAAATATTAGCAACAATTATATCTTCAATAAATTTATTATGAAAATAGATTCAACGATATTTCTAATAATATTAATTATATACTATAAATATTAATATTTTTTATATATTTAGTCAAAGTGAAATATGTTTGATTTCTCGGGAAAGACGAACGCCAAATAGTAAGGGATAGAGGAAGTATGCGATAGAGGGAGAATTGGCATTTCTTTTGTCCATCAAGGTGCGCAAGGAGTCTAGCTCTTCTCCACACGCTAGCTTAAAGATTTTTGACATCTCTCTTCCCTACATGGCATCTGATCCTAGTAGAGTTTGCCATTATATAACAAGAAAAGCACATAATTACCTTTTCATTGAGCAACTGTCATATGACCGTGACTCCGTGAGAGGATATAATAATAATAATAAAATAAAAAGGGCAAGGTAAGCTCGTACTAATACATTTTTTCCTTCTCTTTTTGTGAGGAAAAATCAAAAGGTCCACACCACACATTTTTTTTATCCCTACCAAAAATAATTTACATATAATAACTACTTTCTCCATCCCAAACTATAAGACATTTGACTTTTTTGACACCAAGTTTGACACTCGTCTTATTCAAAAATCTATGCAAAACATCACTTCTTTTGTCGTGACTTGCTTTATTAATAAAAGTTTTTCAAAAATGACTTAAATTTGACTATGTTTGTAGAAATTTTTTGAATAAGAAGAGTGGTTAAATTTGGGGTCAAAAAAAGTCAAACGTCTTATAATTTGGGATGGAGGAAGTAATAATTATTTGATGGAGACAGATATTATATACTCCCTCCGTGCAGGAAAAAAAACATAATTCTAGCTCTGAATCTGGACACGTTATCACTGCAATGAATAATGAGGAATATTCTAGAAGATATGGCCAGGCTGCAAAGACGGCGGTCGCTTGCTGCGTCGCTCCAGGTGGGCCAGGCCTATCTATCCATCCACCTATACCAATCAAAAATCATCGCGGGCGCACCCCCAGGCACAGCAGCTCCAGCTTCTGGCTGGCTGGCTCACGAAAGGCCCATGCTCCAATCATCATCGCCGGCTCCCTTCGTGAGCCCCACGCCCGCTTCGGTTGGAGGCGGCGGCCCATACGGTCCGCCGAGGACCCGGTCCACGCCACGCCACGCCATCTCCTCCCTCCTCTGACCTCTCATCGTCGACGAAGGAAGGATTCCGCCTACGCCTCCGCCCCGGCCGCCTTCGCGCTCGCCCGCCGCTGCATTTTCCGGTGGCCTCGCCGCGTGCGGCCGCGAGACGTGGGAGCCTGCTGCGGTCCTCGCCCGCGTCGTCTCCCCGTGGGGGGCCGTGCCTGGGACCGGTGAGACGAGTACGTGCGCTGTGACCCCCGCTCTGCTGGATTATCTCACGCTTTCCCTGCATTCCATCTACGCGGTTATGCCACCAACGGCTGGTCATTGCGAATTTGGTGTTGCGGTTTGCTGCGCTCTATCGGAGCGTTTTTTTTTTTCGTTTTATTTGGACGGGGCTTTGGCGGACAATTTAATACTACTTCTACATTATTAGTGCTTGATTTTTGTTAGAATAGATTCGTATTGAAGCATGCCTGTTTATAATTATGATGTTATATCACATAATGGCATGATAATGGAGTAATTATATTTTGGATAAAGGCATAAAACCTCCTCCTAACGAGATGGAATACACCTTGAGATTTCAAACGAAGACGGAGTATCTTTTTATTGTTATAATACATGTTTTTTTTATAAAAAAAAAATCTTGCTTCTCAATGTTTGTTTCTCTTGGGTTCAACAGGAAGCCTTACGCCTGTTTGAAGACGTCAGGTACTGGTATTTGGGTGGCAATTGAATGATTGGGGAACCTGATTGGCCACAACCATTGTTGGTCAACCGATGGGAAGCAATGACCCTAGCACACCCTCCAAGGCTTCTAAGGCATCGGAACAAGTACTCGAAACAGTGATAACACATTCTTACATATTTAATAAATGGCATTGTCAGTGCTTAACTGTGCTCCTGTTATTTGCCTAAAGAGATAATGGTCATGTTTTTCCTACTAGTGCAATAACCTTAGGGTACTTAATTGCTGGTTATAATGATGTTTTTTGGGAATAGTGATTTTGCTGCGGCCAAATTTGGAAACATGTCGAATAGGTTTGACATGATATGAATTGATGCTTTTATTATGGATTAGTAAGTAATAGACGTACACTCTGCCTTTCTCAGATTATGTGGGGCCTTTAAGGCTAATGCAATCTTGCTATTAAAGTTGAATTGCACAATGCATACATAGGTTTAGGCAGCATCTGAGTGTCACCTTCTGCCTAATTCTGTTTTAGTTACATAGGTTAGTTCCTTCCATTGACAGAAGGAAATATCCAACTAGGCCAAAACACAATTCTCTCATTTCGATTGTGAAAAAACATGATGCTTTTGTTTCTTACCTCCCTATTTCCAGGATCAACCTCCAGCTACCACATCCAGTGGAACAGCTTCAGTTTACCCTGAATGGCCCAGCTTTCAGGTTATTCCATATAAAACATGCAGTTGCTAATTAAGAAAGAAACTTCTTCCATTTACCTTCTATTTTTATCAAGCAATTCTCCTTTCCTTTATGTCTTTATCTCTTACTTGTTAAAGTTCTTGGTAGGCCTACTCAGCAATTCCACCACATGGGTTCTTCCCCCCTACCGTTGCTGCAAATCCACAGGCCCATCCGTACATGTGGGGAGCTCAGGTGCCCCCTATATCTGAAACTTTGCCCCAGGCCCCCCTCTGTTCTCTGTCAATCTCTACTACTGTTAATGTCAATCTGTATTTATATGTGTTATATATTGCAAGAGCATGTGATTTTCATATGTAAATCAAAACCGATGCCCCTTAATTGCAGCCCATGGTGCCACCTTACGGGACGCCACCACCACCTTATGTGATGTATCCACCTGGAACAGTATATGCCCATCCCTCTACACCTCCTGTATGCACTTTTATGCCTAACAAATTTACCCTACATGCCAACTAATGTACATGAACCCTTTTATCCTGTTTGGCTGACATATTTTTGTACTATGAATAAATTATTGGCAGACTATGCATCCATTTAGTCATTATCCTATGCCAACAAATGGACATGCTGAAACTTCTGTAAGTAATCAACTGTGTCTATTTCCTTTTGGTCATCACCGTTTCATGTAATCCTGAAATATATCTTTCAGGGAGCTGCGCCAAGTGCTCCAGAAATGAATGGTGAGTCTTTTCCAAGGTCAACAGTTCATTATCAAAGTCAATCAGTGTATCCAAGTAAAATTAGATTTCTAGTAATAATTTCAGGGAAAAGTGAGCCTGGCAGAACATCTGCTCCATCAGCCAATGGGATTACTTCCCACAGGTTTTTATTTGTTATTGTAAATTACAAATCTCTAGAGTTCATCCACAACCTAATCACCTTGTATTTTTATACCTGCAGTGAGAGTGGAAGTGAGAGTGAGAGTGAAGGAAGTGATGCCAATTCTCAAAATGTGAGATTGATCTGTGATCCTCAAATCTCTTTCTTGTCATAACACTTCTTTTGGACTCCTTGATAATTTTGCTGTTGCAGGATTCACACTCAAAGGACAATGATGGAAAGGAAGATGGTAGGTATCTGAGGACCTGTTTTTTCTCTCCAAATGATAAAGACCAATAGAATTGTATATCTGTTTTCATAAGATGATGGGTATATCCTGTCAATATGCAGGCAACTCTCAGAATGGCATATCTTATTCAGCATCACAAGGAATGTTAAACCAAACCATGGCGATGCTTCCAGTACAACCGGGTGCAATGGTTGGAGGAGTTCCTAGCTCCACAGCTAACTTGAATATTGGAATGGACTACTGGGCAGCTCCAGGTTCTGCAGCTGTCCCTGCAACACATGGCAAAGCACCAGCTGGTTCAGCACGAGGAGACCAATGGGTACAGTCCTTTAGCATGTGTTTGCTTAAACTTTACAATTATATGTACTAAAATATTTGATCTTTGAGGATTGGCATGTCCTGTTTGTGTTTCTAGAGTATTGATTGCTCCGTAGAACCGAATACTGGTTTTGGTTTTTTATGTAGACTATGCCGATAGGGTTGTTCTAGATAATAAGTTTCTATAATGAGGAAGCAAGGCTGGAGCCAAAGCACTGGACGTCCTGTGGTGCAAGCAGTTGGATGGAGCTCATAATTTCAGTTAGAACTTAGTCTTACCTCTCCTTGCGTAGTTGTTTCCTTTTCCATATAGTCCATTGAGTGAGTGAGTTAGGTCTGGCAAGCACTGCAGCCGCTAGCGTTGTAAACTCTGTTTTATTTATTTCCAACCTAATATAAACATAGACAGCTCGCCCATTTTATTCTTGAAAAATATAATGAGTCCACTGAGCGAAACTATTTGATGTCCTATTGTTTCCATTTTCCATGTTCATCTAAAAATTTCTTGTACTTGTTTCAAACACCCCTTGGGACATCCCTTGGTGTATGCTTTTCGCGGACGATGTAGTGCTAGTTGATGAAAGCCGGACAGAAGTGAATCAGAAACTGGAGTTATGGCGGGAGACTTTGGAGTCCAAAGGTTTTAGACTCAGTAGAACTAAAACTGAGTATATGAGATGTGACTTCGGCACTACTACTCGGGAGGAGGAAGATATTAGTTTGGAAGGTCAAGTAGTGCCTAGGAAGGATACCTTTCGATATTTAGGATCAATGCTATAGAGATACGGGGATATTGATGAAGATGTTAGCCATAGAATCAAAGCAGGGTGGATGAAGTGGCACCAAGCATCTGGTGTCCTATGTGACAAAAGGGTACCACAGAAGCTAAAAGACAAGTTTTATAGGATGGCGATTAGACCTGCTATGTTGTATGGTGCAGAATGTTGGCTTACGAAAAGACGACATGTTCAACAGATAAGTGTCACAGAAATACGTATGTTGCGTTGGAATTGCGGTCGTACAAGAAGGGATCGAGTTCGGAACGATGATATACGTGATAGATTAGGGGTAGCATCAATTGAAGAAAAGCTTGTCCAACACCGGTTGAGATGGTTTGGACATGTCCAACGGAGACCTCCAAAGGCACCGGTGCGTAATGGAATTCTAAGCTAGGATAGTAACGTGAAGAAAGACAGAGGAAGACCGAAGTTGACTTAGGTAGAGGCAATAAAAGGAGACTTGAAAGGATAGAATATACCCAAAGACTTAGCCTTAGATAGGAGTGCTTAGAAAACAGCTATTCACGTGCCTGAACCTTGATTGCTTCTGCTGGGTTTTAACTCTAGCCTACCCCAACTTGTTTGGGACTTAAAGGCTTTGTTGTTGTTGTTGTTGTTGTTTCAAACACCATCGTTTAAACTTAAAAAATAAGATAAATTATAGCATCGCCATCTTCTGAAGTGCTCTGAGAAGTTTTAGTCTATCTTACGGTGCTTCGAGTGTGGTAAATATAAGATACTAACAAGGATACCGCGCTTCAATGCTGCTGTATTTATATTAGTGCTTTTGTGTGCATTTCAATATAGGAAAATCTATTCACCACAAGCTGTGTTTGTATCATGGCAATATTTAGGATGAAAGGGAACTCAAGAAGCAAAAGCGAAAGCAGTCTAATAGAGAATCAGCACGCAGATCCCGGCTGCGCAAGCAGGTGTTGTGCAACGCTCATGCTGACATCCTGCTACCTGGATTTCATCTTCTCAGTTCCAAGAGGATTTTGTTCAATGCTTTCGTGATCTTATTTGGTTATTTCAGGCTGAGTGCGAGGAGCTTGGGCAACGTGCTGAAGCTTTGAGGTCGGAGAACTCCTCTCTCAGGGCCGAGCTTGAGCGGATCAGAAAGGAGTATGAACAGCTACTTTCACAGAATGCTTCCCTCAAGGTATCATTCGTTTGCTATCTCTATATTGTCATTTGATATTATCAGTCATGGTAGCTCAGATTTTCAGTTATGCTAGATCACCTCCTCAGTTATGCAGAAACTGGCAATATCGTTGGTACATCTTGCGATGCCTTGAATTATTCTACATATTGCTAGGGTGATTGTGACTTTTTCAGATGTTTTTTTTCTGCTATAGTTGTTGGCCTCAGTTCAGTGTTGGTATGGTATTTGCAGGAAAAGCTGGGGCCACCAGTGATTCGATTCCTGATATGAATGAAAAGAACGACGGCGACGGCAGCTACAAGAAGCAACCTGATTCCGATGCCCAGTCTTGACCTGTTTAGCTCAGGATTCTTGGAATGCACATTGCTATTTATTTTCTTGAGCATTGTCGAACACAACATAGGAAAGAGAGAATTGTTTATGTAACTCTACCTCCTTGACTGGCTAATGTCTCTGACGGCATGTATATAATATAATATATGCCCTCACTGCTGTACTAGTAATTTAGGAATTACAGACAAAAGGAAAAACTCACTTGATGTTGTTCGAGATGGACTACAGCTTGATTTGTAGAAACCAAAACAAGAAAGCAGCTCTGTGCGCAAGTGCAAGGTAGTACACCAATTGCCTGCATCCTCCGTGGGCAATTGGGCATCCATGTCCATAGGTTCGGTCGGCCCATAAAGAATTTGCCCATCCAGTATTCTCAATTGCTTACCCATCATCCAGACCAAGAGAAAAGCTGCCATAAGATAATGTCAAAAGGACGATGCTGACATAAACATGTTTCGTTACATGTTTCAGGAGCAGGCCCTTCGATCGCCCAAATGAGAATAGTTGTGCCCCAAGGCCCAATCTGTCAACTTGTGGGCCAGCTCGGTGAGATCATTTGCCATGCATACCGCATACATGCCTGGCAAAGTTGGTTTTGGAATAGTAGTTAGCGTGTGATGCATGCCAACCGTGCTCAACCAATGAGGATTGGTATGTATTTATGTTACATCAAGTGACAATTTTACAGTAAGAAATAGTACAAGATTATAATCATAATTGCAACTAATGATCAGCTACTAAACATGTTACAATCACCAATCAGCATTATCTAGCCATTGCCGAGTACCACAGCTTCCATGGTTAACATCCCCGGAATTTTAACCGGTGGCCACAAGGTTGAGATTGATGTGTGATTGTTGTAACATCTGATGCTTGGTAGCAGGTTTGGTGAAAATGTCGGCAACTTGATCAACGGAAGAGATGAGCCGAACCTCAAGAGCACCAAGAACAACCTTCTCATGGACAAAGTGAAAATCCACTTTAATATATTTGGTGTGATCATGAAACATTGGATTAAAACTCAGATATGTTAGTATGGACAAAGTGAAACAGTCTCTGCACCAGCACCAGCTACCATACTACACTCTCCCAAAATGGTTAGGAAAACAATCTCTCTCCCAAATGGTTAGGAAAACAGTCCGTAGGATTAGTATGAAGAAAAATGGTTTATAATTTCCAAATATATCGCATAACAAATGGCAGGGTAAGATATAGCATATTTTATATATTTTATAAATATGGTCTTTTAAATTTAAATATTTATCTTCACAATTGGTAGGGGCCGCGCGAACGCGTACCCCCTCTTCCACAAATTACGACGTCCACTCAAATTACGACGTCCACTCTCCTACTTGAGGAGATGGTAGGCAAGCGTTCTTCCCAAGTGCAATGGAAGCCGCTAACCTAGGCCATGACCCTTCATGATCAGCCATAGACCCCATCCAGGTAAGTATGGATCAAGATTGCACTTGTGGCTTGTTTTGTAGCTCCTCCTAGGCTCAAGCATGGTTAGGGTACCGATTTGGTACTAAACCGATGGCTGTTAATCTGTGTGATCCTGCAGCATGTTGTTAAGGTCTGCTGCTGTTAATTAGCCCGTTGGGCTCGGGAGCAGGCCCTTGGCCTTCGGTTGTCCGCAAACCTGGCCCAAGTAAGAATACTGTAACCTCAAGGCCCAAGTCGTCAAGGGTTTCTCCTCCACCCTAATTTTTTACTATTTAACCCTTTTTTGAATAAAATTTACATTTGGCCCCCTGAGAGACTTAAACTCATCTTTGGACCCTAGGGGTCGACGCCAAACTCATCTTTGGACCCTGGGGGTCGACGCCATGAGTCCTGGCGCCGAGGTAACACGTCTCGGCGCCACATGGCGCCGACCCCAGGGTCCAAAGATGAGTTTAAGTCTTCCAGGGGGCCAAATATAAATTTTCTTCGAAAAAAGGGTTAAATAGTAAAAAATACGGCTCCTCCACTATCCAAGAGGCGGGAGAGTCCACGCCATCGTTGTTGGGACACAGTGGCAGTGACATCGACGGACAGGAGAAGGTTCTCTTCTTCCTTTGGTGGATGCACTGTCACATGCATGGTAAACGCAGAAGCTAGCAGCTAGCAGCTCTGTGCCTCTGTCGTCAACCCTGCCGCTCATCTTCCTGTTTCCTCGCCCTCTTCTTAAGCTTGATTTTTTTTTTTTGAAAAGTTTCTTAAGCTCAAAATTACTCATGTTTCCTCGCTAATTAATCTAGTTACTCCAACGTGTGATTCACCATGCTTGCTCAATGTTGGTTGGTGAAAGCGAGGTGCCGTGCACAAGCTGGTCCGTACAAACTAAGAAGAACGACGCTTGGATACTTTTAGTATTATTACCATTATCATAATAATAGAAGCTATATGAATTCATCCTGCATCTGTATTGCCTAGGAGCTATGAAGTTCTGGCCAATGTTTACTGCTTTCCTTTTCTTTTTCACTTTGTTGTTTTCAGACTTGGAAGGAAACTATGTAGATAGTTTGACAAGGTAAGAGAAGGTAACTGGGGAGCATTGCTTGTTAGATAGTTTTCAATTTTGTTATCAGATTTAGAAGGCACCTCCAAGGAGAGAATGCAGATAGATTATAATTATAAATAAAAGATTATTAGTTATCAGATAGTTTTAAGATTAAAAACACATCCGAGGAGCAGAACAATACTGAATCAATAATTGGGCGGGTCGAATGAAGTCTATCAGCCTTGCACTAAAACTAATTAAGAGAATTTTAAGAGGGATGCACTAAAACTAGAGAAAATTGGCGTAAGTATTGCTAAAACTGTGGGCACACAGATTCTGGACATCCATTAGCAAGGGTGAAAAATACACACGGCAATTCCTGCACCGATGATCAATCTAATCAGTGAACAGTGTGTGAACAAGCAATATGCCGGAATCAAGTCTTCGCTGGAGACTAACACAAGCAGGCACTACAAAATTCAAACCGTTCCCCCCGAAATGTGCTATCTCCAAGACTAGTAGACTATGAACTTCTAAAGCAGATCGAGCTTGCAACTACATTCTCTTCGAGACTTCCACAGCAGGAGAAATCTAGGTGATGTATCTTTCTTGTTGCTCCTGGAGCAGGCGAGCCGAGGATTTGGCATCCAAATAGAGCCCACTAACTTCCTCGAGATCAGCCTGATAGAGATCATATATTGATATATAAGCTCAGAGATTGTAACCTTGCGAGAACAAGAATCAGCTAGCAATGAAAGCTCGGTAGATATACCTTGCAGATCTTTTCTCTTCCATTAGTCTTTGCGACCACGCTGGCAGGTGATAGCAACTGAATAGCATGTCTGCAAAGAGAATAAGATCTGTTACCATCATTTCTCACTAGTTATGGAGGGAGGGAAGGAAGGAGAAATCGGCTTGCAATATCAAACACTACAGTGAGATCAACTCTAAGAGTGATGAACAGGTTATGAGATGCATGCCTAACTTCTAAGGAGGAACTAATCCATAGAAAATACCAAAGAACAATACAAAAATCTAACCTCAACGATGTCTGCTGTCCAATCTCGCCTAAATAAGCAAGACTTTCTTCATCGATATCAATCTCTTCCACTTGTGCTCGGATAGCCAATATCTGTGAAAGGCAACAAACAAAGGATGATGCAAATTCTGGACAGGAAAAAACTGATCAAAATGATGCCCAAAATAAGTAAGAACCTGTATCATCTCAGTAGGACCATATGTTTCTGTCCGAATAATCACCAACCTATCTAGAAGATCCACTGGCATACCATGTGGACTTGTCATATCAGTTCCTCTAGATAAAACCAAAACAAGATTCATTAAGCAAATAATTAATTAATTAAGGTGCAACTTAATAGACAAGTACAGATTTATGCTGGGTATTGAAGTTAGCTGCAGACTTGCAGAGTACTCTGGCAAATAAACTGCTTACCTTACATTACATATTCCCCTATTCGTAGCAAGTATCACAATTGGTGATAATGGGCTCTCCAGTGCACGGTTAAGATAAGAAAAGCATTCAATATCCAACATGTGGACCTGAAAAATGATATTTTATTAATTGATTTTAAATAGCCAGAAGACAGTCCGACACAATCAAGTCCAACAATTGTGGCGCTGCACCATGAGGCGGAAAAAAATATGTTTAGCAATCAACAAAACCAATGCACTTTCTACTTATTTTCTTTTTATTAGGACATGACAAGTGGATTTTTCAATCACAAGTGCAATAAAATAATACCTCATCAATGAACAAAACACCAGGTACAAGCTCTGCAATTCCTTCACAATATATCTGTTTACCACCTGTCACCATATAAAATTAAAATATCAGGTGAAAATTCTTATATGGATATCCAAATTTGATACTGCCTTTAGAAAACTAAAAAATTGTTAGTCGAATAAAAGAAGAAAACCTTATTAATCTCTTGGCGTAGCTTTTCGGTGATTTCAGTCTTTCGTGGCTTCATCATCTGGCCCATAAGGGACAAAATATCTTGGCCGCCTTGTGGCTGAGCATTTGCTGCATCAAGGTCATGAAGTGTGACATCCTGCATACAATGGTGAGAAGGTTATTTCCTCTTCAGAACAAGAGCATAGAATACAGGAAACCTCCATGTTGAGATGCAAATACGAGCATTAATTCTTATTAAAAATTGCATTAGTAAAATATCATCCTTGTGATAATAAATGATCAGTCGATCAGGTAATCTACCAGCAAGCTTTCAACTGTTTATTTACTAACATTACCAAAAGCAGCAATGATAGAACCAAGTTAATGAACTCTAAGAGATTCTTGTTGAAAGGACTTGGGCTGATGGCCAATGGTGATGCGCATAACCGTTGTTTGTGACCTTTATTCATGTATATATATTCTACCAAGGAAGCAACAGTCACTAGCATTGCACTAAGACTCTTCAATATTTGTAGTTCTGGAAATCTGGTGAGCCCATCTTATACTACCTCCCAATTAGCTGATTTGTAAACCACACAGCAGTTTCCATCATAGAAAAAAAAAGATGAACAAGGTGGCCAGCAATTTTGCAGGGAAGGTCTATAAACTTTTTGTAGCTAAAATTGATTGTAGCAAGCAGCTATCGTCAACATATCAACTTGCAATACTGTACTGCTATAGCTTCACCAACATCTTGTGAAGGAAATTAGTCAGCAATTTATGATAGAATTATTGGTCAAAGTTACATCTTGAGGAGTATACTGTTTCAATAGTGAAAAGATTTGTTTCAATCATGATAACATTCACTAAAGAAGGTACCATGTGAAAAAGACCGCTGCAGAAAATAATGAAATGTTAAGGTTAAGATAGCATCAGAATGATACCTGCACTATTTCCTTTTTCTTATGGACTTCACCTTTGGGGATAGGAACATACTCTTCAGCTTCAAGATCGTATTCTGTAGCAAAAGAATCACATCTACCAACTCTTTTCACTGCTCCACTATTTGCTTCGATGTATATAACATCACCTACTGCCACCTATATCCATATGCAGACAATAAGTAACCTAAAGCAACAGATGCAGATAGCAGAATAGATACAGTAACCCAGAAAGTATAGTGCATGATTTCTCAATGTTTAAGGAGCCACTCAGCACCAGGACTAGTCATAAGACAACAGGACATCTGCCGGTGAATTCACATAAATTTTTTCCAATGAGTAAATTATCAATAGGCAGAGCAGATTTAAAACGTTCATCAAGACGTTATTCTGAGTAAGAAACAATTAGACCGCCCATTGTTATTGAAGAGTAAAAATCTAATCCAAAAGTCTACCACCAGCAGGATAGGTAAGGAAGCAGGCAGTTACCTTTTCCTTGATCAAAGCATCATAAATTGAAGGATCTAACTTCAGTTGCTTAGTCCCTTTAACAGTCTTTAGGCCAATGATTACATGGCTAATGCTTTTTGCATATCCACCGGTTGTACTCTCGGCCTCTTCTGGGGAAAGTTCAGTAACCTAGGAACAGAGCAACATTGGTAAATCTATTAAAGCAGCAAGAAGTGAACATCAGTTATCAAAGCGATAATGAAAACTGTTGATAAATAAAGGAGACCCACTAATTTATTATAGCCTAGTATTTGTTTAACTTGGACATGGGCATATATGCATTGCTTACCTCTCCTTCGTAAACCTCTTTGTTTTCCTTCATACGCAAACCTATAGCTCTACGGAAATTTTCCATCAGCACCTCAGTTTTCTTGACCTCTGTGGAGTACACTTCTGATCCTACCATAGGACAGAAAGGGACCTGCATTGTAGTGACAGGGGAAGGAAAATTAGAAGATTAGAATATAAGTGCTACAGTGAACTCAGCAAACATAACAACTTAGCAACATCAATAACATTTTACCGGACAAACTGTCCCTCTAAACCACCAATTCAGCTAGCTGAACAGAAAAGATAAACGACACAGCTAAAATGACGTTAAGTATGCTAAACTACCTCGAGATCGCTATGAACTAGCTAAAAAATTCTTTTTCTTTTGTGCCCATCCAGAGCTTCTTGTTCACCAAACAGCGTAATATATAATAAACAGTTCAAACAGAGAATTAACTGAGGACAGCCCACAGTAATCAGAACCTATCCTCACCTCCACATACCACAACAATGGTTGAATAGAAGAATTGAGTAGATAAAATCTGGTCCTCTTTCTTCCTTACAAATGTGCAGACCACAATCCACATATATTGTTACAATGGCAGGATATTGGTATGGGACATTATGACCCACAACAAAGCCAAAGGGAAGTAATAAACCCTATCTTTACCACCACAATGAACAGCTGATAAGTGTGAAACAAAGGAGCAACTGGACGCACGGACCTTGCTGCCGAGCTCCTGCGCTATGCCAAGCGCTAGCGCCGTCTTGCCAGTGGCGGGCGGGCCCTGCAAGGAGCAGCGCGCGGCCGGCCATCTTCTTCTGGCGAATCATGTCGACCGACAGCCCGGCCGCCTCGCGCGCCGCCGCCTGGCCCACGAACCCTGCCGCCAACGCAATCGCCATCCCATTGGCCTGCTCCCGTAAGGGGAAAAAACAGTGAGGAACTACTACGCAAACACACAGAAGAGCTAAAACCCTAGAAAACCAGGGGGAGGAAGGAGGAGCGGAGGAGCGGGGGCAGCTACGTCGAGGCCGAGGCCCTTGATGTGGGTGTGGGTGGCGATGCGCTGCTTCTTCGAAGTCGACTGCACTTCCTCAATCCTCATCGCCGCTACCTCTCCCGCCGCCGCCGCCGGTTATGCGCTCTGTGTTTGTCTAGAGCTGCTCTCCCGCCGCAACAAATTGGGATAGAGCGGAAGCGGGGACGGGACGCCGCTGCGACTGGTCTCTTGTGGAAGATGTGCTGCCGCCTCGAGTGGGAGCAGAGGGTGTCTGGCTGGGCCGCCTTGGGCTGTTATAAGGCCGTGGGAGAGCTATGGTTGGGCCTCTCCGCATATTTTTAGTTTGCTCGGTTATTTCGGTTATCCGACAACTAAAACCGAGATTATTTTTCTCATATTAATAAAGCCAACCATTTATATATATAAAAACCCGATATTATTTCTGATATTATTTTAAATATTTAAATTCGAAATTATAACAAAAGAAATTCTGTTTCGATCAGTTCTCTTCGTCTCAAGTTACCGATTTATTTATGATGACAAAAAACTGATTATTATTTTCTCAGTTTAAATCGAATTTTGTTAAAAGCTTTCGTGATCTTACTCGGTTATTCCAGGCTTAGTGCGAGGAGCTTGGGCAACTTTGAATCTATAAGGTCACAAGGCTCCTCCCCAAATGCCGAGCTTGAGTGGATTAGAAAGGAGTATGAACAGCTACTTCCACATAATACTTCCTTCAAGATATAATTCATTCGCTATCTTTACATTGCTTTATATCATATTATCGGTCACTGTAGCTCAGATTTTAGTTATGCCAGCAGCCTAGCCCACCTTTTCACTTATGCACCAGCATGTTCATGAAGCAAGGACACACCACTTGCCTGCACCCTCGATGGAAATTTCATTATAAAAGCTGCAATGGCCGATGCCACAGCCACAAGATGATGTCCAAAGTCAATTATGATGTACATTTCCATTGCAATGACGTAGTACAACTACATTCTCTCCCCCAAAATGGCGAGGAAGCAGTCGCCTCTGTACACCACCAGCAAAAGCTACCGACTCGCCCCAGCCCAGTCTAACTCCTAAGTAAACCCTAGGGTTAGTAAGAAAAGAAAAAGGAACTAAACTTTGTCGAGCAGCTGCCCGTATGCTTCCCATGGTGCTATCCCAGCAACCTCAGGCTGCTCCTGGCCTCCTGGGTACCTCAGCTCTTGTTAGAAGCACTCAGATTGGAACCCTCAACTATCAAGGGTTTCTCCTCCAGGAAAGCATACACTCGCGATCTGAATTTCTGTGCTAGTTCAGCGAGATCATTTGCCATCCGGGTCTGGGGCAACCGGTTTGCAACGTCGATCGTCAAGATTGCGCATATCTTGCTTCTTGTCAGCACTTCCAAAGTTGGTTTTGAATAGTTAGTGTGTGATGCCAACCGGTTTAGGAGGATAAGAGCTTCCCTCATCACCAAACACCTGCAGAAATGATTTTCATATTAATGCTAAAACAAATCGCAGACAAGTTCTTCATAGACAACTAAGACCAATTTGGAGTTGCAGCTTAAGATAGTTGCCAACAGAAGAGGAAAGAATTCATGAGCTCAGGCATATCTAGAATTTACTCGGTGATATCACCACATTCATGCTGTGATACAACAAGCTAGGAACGCACAAGACTGGGGTAGCAAAGTTTGATGTACCTTTCTTTTAGTAACTCTTGTGTTTCATATTGCATCTGTGATGCAAGGACTTCCATTATCATCTCCAAAAAACTGGCACCACGGGCACTCACTGGGCCTAAAAGCACATCATATCCCAATTTGCCACTAGAAGCTATATAGGCTAGAAGAATGATAACAAGCGGCAAAGCTCAATCCCCTGAAAAATACAGTTGTTCAGCTAGCTAAAGTGAAATAAACAAGTTATGCTGAATCTAAAAAAAAGTCTCTAGGTGAAAAAAGTTTTCAGGAATATCATGCAACGCCTTTTGTTTATCGGCGATAGGTGAAAAACCATTGCGATGTTCAAACCATGTGGACAGAAAAATAGAATCTGGCTAAATGTAAATGCAGATTTCCATCCGGAATGAATAACTAAAAGAGCTAAGTAGCTTACCAGAGAACAAGTTGCCTCAGAAGTCAAAACAATCAGATAAATCCGCAAGAACTGAGCTTATGACTTCTTGTGATTTATTGTTTTCACAAGCTTCCGATTCCATCTGTTCGAGCCATCTTTGCCTCCACTACACAGCAACTTCAACATCACTGGGCCTAACAGAACAGGAATTAGGTTGCAATTGAGAGGATTAAAGGCAGGAAAGTTACTACTCCTCCGTTCCATCTAGATATAACAATATGTCTAGATATATAGCAAAATCGATGTAACAAAAAAGTCAACGCGACTTATAATTTAGACGGAGGGGGTACATAAGTGTAACAGATTTAATATATCTTTGAAACTGAAAACAAAATTATTTTAACGAGGAACCTACATTGCCGATCCCTCAACAGCTGAACTCAATTCTATATAAGCATATCAAAGGAAAGGTGTGGGACAAATGTCTTAGGTAAAACAGTTAACACTACACCAACAAACAAATCATGTTTTTCAATCTAGCCATTAAAAACAGAGGCTCCACTACCGATTTCCCTTATGCTTATGAGGGATGAGAAGTCCCCAAGAACCAGGCAAAAGCATCAGTAAAAAGAAGAGTACCAGGTAGCTAGTCCACAGAATGCACACATTGCAGTGTTCACCTGGCAAGAACAGTTCTTGCATGCTAGCATCTTCAGTTCTAAAGCTAAAGGGCGTACCCAGTGCAGAGAGCACCCGCTCTGTGCGGGGTCTGGGGAAGGGTGTTAGTGGCAAGCCTTACCCTCACCTGTGCAATGCGAGGAGACCGCGACTCGAACCCGGGACCTTCCGGTCACAGGCGGTAAGACTCTACCGCTTGCACCAGGCCCGCCCTTCATCTTCAGTTCTAAAGCTAATGTGAAGAAATCAAACATACAAGCACAAGTACTTACAATTCAGAAGCAAGAAAAGTAGACGCACAGAATGCTTCTTAACAAGCAATCCATTTTCTTTCTGCAATAGCAGATGCAATCTCGTCATTACAGAAGTAAATCCGAATCTGAAAGTAGCAGCATTATATCATTAACATCCAACATCATAAGCAACTAAACAAATGAAACATCATTCAGATGCTTGCTTACTTATGGCGTTCCTCTTTGGGATCTGTCGACCTTACAATGAGAATCATTATGGATAATGCATCAGTACGAATTGTCTCTTCTGAGTACTTGACCCCAATTTGAAGCATTGCAGTGAAAAGTGAACTCCATAAAGTAAAAGGAAGAAACATATTATGCTGTCTCAATGAATCTTCTGTATCCAGTGGACTCAGCAACGTGGAACAGTCTTTGTGGTTGTTCTCCATGTGTATGTTAACATATGGTTCAACAGAAACGTTGTTCCTGAGGGTACACTGAGAAAAATCAAATTAAAGTTCATAAGCATGGGAACCTACAATAGTAAACAAGAAAAAAAGGAGAACATTATGCAAGCCACCCTTGAGTAGAAACATTTCCAGCATAAAAAAGAATCTAACCAGTTTATTTCATTTAGAAACCATGTCACCATTTCACTCTAAGAAAATTTAAAAACTGAAGCAGAAAGGAACACATGGTTTACAGATCAAGAAAGATTAGCAGCCCAAAACATATCGAGTGAAGCACTACTGATCACTTTACAGCTTAGATTTAGGGAAATATTCCAGGTCGAATTTTGAATTAGAGAAAAAAACATGACTGTTAATTTAGGAGAACTAGAAACCTTGATTCATTTTCTCTATCTGATATATTATCAGTTAATTACTGTTTGAGTTCAGTGCTAAACCTAAGCACCATATTTACTTCAACTGTGAAATGCAGTTGCTGTCTACTAGTAAAAATGTATTCCATGCACGAGTAAAGCATACCTTCCACTAGACATCGCTCCATGATGCAGTAAGTGCTGCAAAACTCTGAGCAATACCCTCAAAGTTCTACCAACTATAGCAGCCTGAAATACAGAGGTAAAAATGAATAGCATGTCAAACAAAGCCAAAATACAGCGTTACTCAGTCCAACATCACAATCCACAAGAAAAGTGGAAAGACTGACATGCATATATAGCAAAACCATTACAACAATGTAGCAAATAAAATTAAGTGTATTCATTAATAATTATTGTTTCAACTCTCTAGCAATAGTATATATCTGATGGGGTGACGCTATGAGAACTCAAACAAAAGCCGCAAAGTGATGAGTGAATGTACTATTGATGTTTCAACAGGGACGGTTGAACCAGTTTTGCTAGCATTTTCCCAAGTCTGCATCAATTAACTGCTCACTCTTTTATCATTCGCAAAGAAATCGACCTAAAAGGTACAGCATTGCTTCATGCTCACTACAGATAGTGTTTTAAAATAGTTTTTCTGCAGGTTCCTTCATTCCTTGTTAGTTAAACTACTTGATCTATGATGCCTAAAGTCACCACTTTTCACAATAAGGTGCATGATTAAAATGGAACTTAGTCAAAAGTAAATCGCTGTCCATAAGTATTAACATTAGAAACCATCATTTTCCTTCCCCCACAGTTACAAAGATTAACATGAAAACCTCAATACCACATCAAATAACTCCTACTGATTTAAGAGTAAATTTCACAAAACTACAATTGTTTTGTCACTGAGTAGCTATTAGAAAGTTGTAATTCTATAGTATCAAGTGCTAAAATAGTTTATTGTTGTGATACACGTCAAAATAGTTGCAGATCTATGGGTATTAGATCACAATAGCTGTAGTTCTGTGAAGGTTACTCAAAGTTTAATGCTAATTAAAAAATAAACGTGAACAGATCATTTCTGTATGTATCAGTATTAAAATAATTAGTACAAGATCATACTCTTGTGCTGCTACACCTATACTCCATAGTCCATACCAATAAGGAAGCACACAAACATATCCATCAAGTGCATCTAAGCAATAATAGAAATGGCAAAAAAACAAATCGATTCTACAAACGAAAGGAAAAGCTCAGAGTCTCGGATCTTACAGTATCAAAAGCACAGAGATTTAGCAATGCTTCAAGGAAAGTTTGTATTGATATCTTCCCACTATTCATCTGCCAAAAATGAACAATTAAATTGATCATTTTAATCAACTTAAATGGCATGATCAAAAGGAAAAATGGAAGGAAATTTTGAATTTTTTAAAGATCCTGGCTACTTCAAATGCAGAAAATATATGTGGCATTTCATATGCAGATACTGAATTGAAATGTTCAGGCAATTTGGGACATCTTGTGGCTAAATACAAGTCTTATATCAGTCCCGTATAAAAAGAGGAGTGGAAAGATCAAGAGTAAACTGGAACAGTTGTCTGACATTAAGGCTCAAGTTCAGTCAGAAAATTCAGATGCCCACCATTGAAATGCATGTCAAGGTGAACTGCAACAGGGAAATACAAAAGGCACTTTTTACATGGTACTCACCTTGATGAACATGTCATACACTTGGGAAATAGCTTCATTCATGGAGGAGCTTGCTTCGTAAGAGGTTCACAGTTGTCTGACAATCTAGTACATTGGAGAAGTGACAAAATTTCTTCTGAACAAGAAACAATAATATTTGATATCAAATTCCTTCTTGATAAACTGTTAGGTGACATGCCCCACATTGCACGTGAGGTTACTAGAGATACGCTCAACCAATACTTTATTGCACTCAAGATGTTCATTGTCAGATGTTTTATCTGTCTGTACTCCTATTGCCTTAATTTCCTTGCATGTAATGCTCCTTGGTTCAAAATGGGTATTCTCCTACCAACATAACAGAAAATATAATTTACACAAGTTTTGGTACTATATATATGACATAAAAGGATGAAAATAAGCTAGGGCATTACCTCCAGAGACACTACTCCGGATGTACTTATTCCTGTTCAAGACAAATCATCGATGAGATTCAGAGTTCAGAGGGGGGGTACAAAGGAAGTGTCAGGTACAAAATGAGCTCAACGTCTTACCATTATCAATCATGGTGCGACACCTCAGTTCCAAGGCCTCAGCCAAATCAGTTTGTTGCCCTTGCTTTAGATACAAATCATCTCGCAAGGAATGGACATCCTTATCTCTGCCATTCATATTGTCTGTTCAGCCTAGTGGATGTCCTACAAGAACCCCCAGCATGCAAAGCCCCATTTGCAGGGGCGTGAAAGGACTGATCAATATCCATCCCTGCACTGCATACATCTTTGCTGGAGCTGCTGAATAAAAAGAAAATGAAAGGGAAAACAGTGTCAACAGTCTTGGAACTGATGCAGAAAGCAACATATGTGAATCAAGTAATATTTCAAAACCCCAGCTACCACCAAAATCCTGCTTCATTCAGAATGAACTAGACATGTTCAATTTCTTCAGATACAGATAGATGACAAGTATGCTAACTCATAGTGAGCATCATGGTGATTGAAATAATGAGTTGCTGAAACCGGTTGTACTTACACATTAGCTTTTTTCAGATTTTGAATCTCCGCTTCTTTAGCTTTGATTTGAAGATCTTTCTTTGTTCTGTCCTTTCTCAGCTCGGTGCATTCATTTTTCTGCAAACAAGATCACAAAGAATCAACACCTGCTGATCATACGAGTTAGCTAAAAATGCACAGTTCAAAGGATTCACAGAAATACAGAATACCGCCAAAGATGATATCACAAGGTACGCACCAATTCATTCATTTGCTTCGAGACATGGTTCAGCTCCCTCTGCGGTGGTTAAGATCAAAAGCATTAGTAACGAAAGAAAATGCATCTACGCCAAGTGAACTGCCGCTCCGCTCCAAACACAGAGAAAGAAATCACCTTGAGCCTCTCGAGCTCCCTCGCTTCCCTGTCCCTCTTCGCGCCCACGCCGGTGCCCACGAAGCGGTGGTCGCCAGCGGAGCCGACGCCGCGAGGCTGCCCTCCTCGGGCGCCTGGCGCTGGGAGAGCTCGCGCGGGGGGGAGAAGCCGCGGCCGGCCTGGGAGAGCTCGCGCGGAGGGGAGAAGCCGCGGACGGCGGCGGTCGGCGGCGGGAGCGGCGGCCGCTGGGAGAGCTCCCGCGGAGGGGAGACGCGGAGCGGGGGGGAAGGGTGCGAAGCGGCGGGGAGGTAGGAGGCCGAAGAGGCGGGGAGGTAGGAGACGGGGTGGCGGCGAAGGGGCCATACGTGGGGATGGGAGCGGGCGCGGGTGGGGGGTGGGAGGGGGTCCGGGTTGCGGGAGGCGACGGCCTCGTCCGCCGTGCGGATCAGCTCGGCGATGAAGGTTGCGTCCTCCCACTCGTCGTCCAGGCCGCCGTCCATCCCCGCGCCCCTCCCTACTCGTCTCACCAGCGCTGGAAGCGGAGGCGGCGGCGGCAGTGCGCGTAGTGCGAGTGGTGTTGTGGTGGGGTTTGCGGGTGGGGTGACGAAGCACAGGGGTTTTGTGGGCTTTTGGTGCCCTTTATTTATCTGGGTACTTCTGTTTTTCCAGTTTTAAAAAGACACGGGACAGTATAGATGCACGTGTTACAACTCCTCCGAGCCTAAAATACTGTACAGGAGGAGTCATTTAAAAAAAATCCTAAATAGATATAAAATTACCAATATTTAATGAATATTATACTCCATCCATTCTAGATTATAAATCATTTTGACTTTTCTACATCCATAAATTTTGCTATGATCTAGATATATATTATAGATAATAAATATAAAAGTTACGATCTAAAACGGTAATGTTGTGCTAAGGACATCCGTCATCCGGGATGCTCCCATTGACGGGCCACACGACCACCACCCAATGGCCTTAACTCTCCACCGGCGTATCCGCTGCGCCCTAATCATATCTCGCCCATGTCGTTCGTCCCTCTCCATTCACTTGCCACTGTCACAGTCTGCATCATTGCATGCGTGCTCAACCGACCACACCATCATGGCGCCTGTCATGCTTCCGACCACCGCCATCCTCTCTCTCCACCACGCTCCAATGGTGCCGCCCACCATCCTTCCTCTCCACCAGCCATCCGCCACGCCAAGATTCTCCATGGCAGCCAAATGCTTTTCTCCACAGAGTCGCGCCACTTCAGTGGCATCGAGCTCCGTGTCTACGAGCCTCCAATCGCCCAAGCAACAAAGTAGATGTTATATTTGAAAACACATATTGCAAGTGTATGTTTCAAATATTTTGGATGTTTCAGAGATATATTGCAAGTGTTTCGTGGTATGGGTGTTGCAAAAAAGTAGATCGGGATGTTGCATATGTTGCAATGGTTGTACACGTCACGTAGCAAACGATGTTTTCAATGTTTCATCCGTTTTCGCAACTATGTTGCAAGTGTGTTTATTCGATGTCGCATATGTTTCACACATATGCCGTAAGTGTTTTTATCTGGATGTTACGTATGTTTGCAATGGTTTTAGTGTTTTCGTGTGTTTTTGCAAGTGTTTGCATCATGTTTCAAGTGTTTGATCCGTCGTGGGCGTTATGTTGCAAGTGTTGCATCTAGATGTTTCAAAAGTAGATCGGATATTACATATGTTGCAATGCGACCTACTTTCTTTGCGATTCTTTGGAAGGCACGAGGGTTTGGCGAAGCGCGAACGTCGCGTCATGGGGTCGGTGTAGGGTGTAGACGCCGCATCAAGGTTTGGCGATGCGTGGATTCAGCGTATGCGTCCATTCTGGATGTCCATGCACTAGCACTGCCGATCTAGAAAAACTAAAACGACTTATAATTTAGAACCGATGGGTATGAGATTAGTAGTAAAATACCTTTTCATAATAAAAATATTAAAAGACACAAATGATAATATTTTTTATAAATCTAGTTAAACTAGAAAAGTTTAATTTAATTCCTCAAAAGCTTGAGAAGGAGGAAGTACTCTCGCTGCAGACACAAGAATCAAGCTTAGCTACACTAAAGAGGCACCATGATCTGCAAATGTGGAAGGAGGAGAATAAGGAAGGTGAAAAGCACATGAGATACAATAGTGTTTCAGATCGACCAAATTATAAACCATAGAAACGATCAAGCGAATAGGTGAATATTCTTGGGACGGAGGGAGTAGGTTTCAATTAGATCCATAATAATTTCAAAAGTTCATTTTTAAATGATAATAGACAAGTACACCACTACATATCAGAGGTCCATAGATCATCTCATGCATTGTTACTTCTTATTGACAACCCGACACTTACTAGTATATAGCAGTTCTCTGACACAAAAAAGAAGAAGAACTAAGGCTGTTGGAGACATGTTGATCGTTTATACATATGAATTGTGATTTAGAGAATAAGTGTATGAAATGTTTACTATGACCGCAGTGTAGATTGATCACCAAGCTTCATCCAAACCTAGCGTGCAAAGATGTACTTTATCTTACATATACATTCCCAACGGCCAAAATCGCACGTTGTAATGGGATGGGTCAACCCACATGTCTATTGGAAAATTAGGGTCTAAGGATTTTGGCTTAATGGATGGATCAGTGTACGGTGTTCCTTAACTGTGTGTTTGATTGGGGGGGCTAGGTGCGATGGGGATGGAACGAACCCACTTATAACATGTTTGGTCTGAGATCCGAGGAGGGACAGGACGGGTTCATGCGTGGATTCGATTTATGAGCAACTACACCCATCTTTACACATGGGCACAAACCCTCCATGTCTTGTTTTGACTTGACGGAATCCTCGAACAATACTAAACATCTTGTGAAATTTAGCTTACTCTGCAAGCAGCACACAAGAATCGCTTTTAGCTACACTAAAGAGGCACCATGATCTGCAAATGTGGAAGGAGGAGAATAAGGAAGGTGAAAAGCACATGAGATACAATAATGTTTTAGAAAAACTGAAAGAAACCATAGACAAAGTCTCGAAGGACTTCAAGATATATGAAATTTTAAATCCAAGTACATCTATACACCTCAAGCTTTGTCTAGATACACCTATATATATCCACTTAATTCACGCTTATTAGAGTGAATTGAGGTAATATTTAGTTTAAATTCTATTACAATCTACTTCAACAACACTAACTATATATATCCAAACAATGCCTTTATCATACAAATCTTTAGTTTCAAGACCAAATTTCACTATTGCACCATTCATCATACAATCTGTGTCCCAGCTGTCCGTCTTGCTGCCACTGCTCATCCCGCCCTCCCGTGTTTCCGGGTACCACTTCCAGAAGCTTCTCTAGCCCACGCCTAACCTTATCCTCTCGCGCAAGGCACAGAGCCATCGATCAGCATCCAATCCCTAATTGGCTAGAGGCTTTTTACTTGTGTGTCATTATAAAAAGTTGGTAATTACCCACAAGCCATTAAAAAGTTGAGTTTTCACAGTGCCTCGCTTCCCAACTCTTTTTGCCTCCACGCCAAGACTTCTCACGTTTGGCTCTAACCTGTGTCAAATCGCGGTGTGAAAAGTCAAAAATACTCTCGTGTCTAAATATGCAATTAATTTTTTAGCATCTTAGGCCCTGCTTCGCTTTACTTGAAAAATAAGTCAAAACAATCGTTCATTGATTTGTTGTGAAAGGAAAACACCTGTTCCTACCGAAAACAATGTCGAAAAGTACGGATTATAAGACAAACGAACATGGCCTTAATGATCTCAAATGAAAAAACTCAAAATTAGAAAGTTGTAGATCTCGTCGAGATCTACAATATTTTTATAAAAATTACCTTCATTTGATTCCGTACAAAAAATGTGATTTTTCTAAAAACATTAATAATATTAAATCATATTTTTTTTGTATGTAATTAAATGAAGATAAATTTTATTTGTAGATATTGTCGAGATCTACAATTTTCTAGTTTTGAGGTCATTAAGATGCTCAAAAAAATTAATTGCATATTCGCACTCGAGGATATTTTGGACTTTTTACACAATCGCGATTTGACACCAAGCAGTAGAGCCAAATCTGACGGAAGTGGCGAAGCGACAAAAGAGTTTACAATGTAAGGCACATATGAGAACTCATTTTTTTAATGGCTTGTACATAATCACCAACTTTTATAATGACACACAGTAAAAGCCTCAATCGCTAATCCCCATCGCCTCCTACATACGCATCCGTCGTCCTCCTCCGGGTTGCCGACCTTTCTGCGATGCGGCCACACATGCCCTCAGAAGTTGCTATAAATGGACCTCGCCTGCCGCTGTGTCAGCTGGGTGGCTCGCTTCTTCTTCTCCTCCGTCCCCATGGCTCAGCTGAAGCGGCAACAAATCGATAAGGTCCCTCTTCCTCTCCCCGCGTGATCCGCTCACTGACCGCTTCTGACGGCTCCGCGTGTTGCCTCTTCCTCTCCCCGACGGCTGGACCTCACTTGGTGGCTCGCCTTCTTCCCTCAAGACTCCACCCCATCGTCCGCCTCCTCCCCTCGTGGGCCCCTCATCGATCCGGGTGAAGGAGATATGGAGTCCGCCACCCTACGGGCAAGCAGCAGCAGCCACGCCATTTCTCCGCCATCGTCAAGGCGTCACGCCATCACAGCAGCACTTACTTAACGGCGTCTGATGGATGAGTTGACCACCGCACCGTAATCTCCTCCATTTGTGATGTACGCGTTTTTTTTTGTTTTTTTACCAGATTTCCCCCCTTGCTTCTCCTAGGGTATCTTTCCTCTTGTGAAGTTAAGATTTTGAGTCAAATTCAACATTGGTAAGGCTATCTCCAACAACAACACCCAAAATACAAGACCCATTCATCCTTTGGGTAGCGCTTATGAGCAAAAAGGTTCGATAACTATTTGACATCTTCTCCAACAACAAGACTCAAAAAGAGAATCCTTTTGCAAATGGGTTTTCAGGAGAGAGGATGCCCATATTTAGATTGTGTCTCCTAGACAACCCAAAATAGGTCTCCCGTATAGATACTCTGTTAGAGGCTGATTTTGGGTTTGGGTAGCTACATCCTTGAGGCAGTTTAAAGACGGTCATGCGCAGCGCCATCGCCGCAAAATTCGCGACTCATCGCCTTATACACCGCCCTTTGCTCCTGGTCGCTTCCACTCCGGTGTCTCTCACCCCATGAGATGAAGTCTTGCAACTATATGCCATTTCAATTTATCCTCGTGACTTCATATGGCGATATTGAGAATATTTCGCCACCCATCAACACTATCTTTAGACTGACTCCAACAACATGACCCAAATCGAATACCCATTTCACCGTTTAGGTAACGCACAGTAACGAAAGCTACGCACTCATTCCTTGACCTCTGAATCTGGATGACCGAAAGGTGAAGCCCCAAATCCTGCTACCTTCTCCTCTCTCTCCTTTCTGCTCTTCTTTTTTCCCCTCTACCTTCGCTTCCCGTCTCCGCTCGCCTCCTCCTGAGACCGTGCGCCCATGCCAATACCGCCTCTGGCCACCACATTGAACTGCCGCGGCCACCACACACATCAGAGCCTCCATTCTGCCTCCACCTTCTTCCCTCTCTTCTCTTTCTCTCCTTTCTCTCTTTCTCTCTTTTGCTCGACTTGTGGTGGCGCAGAGAGGCGGCTGGTGGGCTCAGGCGTGGCGCTTCCCTCGGCGTGTACAGACCGGGCAGCAGGCCTTGGCCAAGGGAGGTGGCCGCAGCAGGCGCGGCGTATGCAGGCGAGGGTTGCACTTGCTGGCGCCGCAAGACCGACCAGCAGGCGTACATGGCATGGCCTGACCAGCCTCGCCTGCTCAAGCCCCGTGTTGGCTCCCTCCCCTCTCTCTCTCTTCTCATTTTGCATCATCGAGAACGAAGACGCTTTTTTGCCTTAAGAGAGTCGGATGATACATAAAATGGTGTGTCGTGTTTGCCTTCTCCATTGAGCGTGATTTCGAACCAAAACAATCGTGCGTGGGCATTTTGCGTTGAGTCTCACAAGGCTTACCTACGCCGTTGGAGACAGGTCTTATATGTTCTTGGTTTTATCTAACTGAATGGAAAATTGAAACCGACGGAACAACCTGAAAACAATTGTGCGAAAGTTGATTGTATGCTGCTTTCTACTCAAATTAACTGCAGTTTTGGGTTACCTGATTGTTAGACTACTACATTGCTTACCTGATGATGGGCAAGACAATGGTGTATCAGTCGTGCGGTCGTTACTGGCCAGTTGCCCATCGGACAACGGGACAAGACCGTCGCCGTGAAGGTGACGTCCATGCTGCACATCGCGTCCACGCAGCTAGCTACACGTGCAGCAACACCTGGCGTACGTACAAAAAGTGGCATCTTATACTTCATCAAAGTGGTTATGTTATCCTAGATGTGATTACCGCTAGATCTCTTTGTCCATGATCAGATGCATCCAGTCGTATTATAAGTTAATGCACTTGTGTTCCATTTGAAATCCCCGGCCGCGAAGGGAATTTGTGTATGCCAAGGAATTTTATGGGATGCCTTCTTTTTCTTTAATTGAAAAGACACATCTGATCACATGTTTATATAATCACATTTACCATTACAGCATGATGACATATTTGATATGTTTTTATCCGTAGCAACGCTAGGACTGGCTAGTAGAATTAATCTAAAAAGCAATTAGTTTTGAACGTCTCAATCATAGTAACAAGTTTGTATAATTTCTCTTAATCTCTAGTTCCGCGCAAACACTACATTTAGTCATTATCATAGCATTATAATCGATCTTGGTAGCTGTAATTATATCGTTTTAATTGAACGAAGTTTGATGTAAACCTATTACCTATGTTCCTATTGATTATGCTCTTAATTTCGCACCAATTATTGTTAGTATATACGATTACCTCTAATTCCCAAGATCATGTACACAATAGTAGTAGCTCAAAGCCTCAAACAACCTAGGATAAATAAATTATTCCTATGATACCTTGGGAAAAACACACACCCGAGTATGGCTGGCTGAATGTGAGCATTGTACGTGCTGAATGGTCTCGAATCAAAATTCCACAAACACGAAGACACCAAGCAAAGAATTCTACCCGCGTGCGTCGTGTTGTCGTTCTGGCGGCGACGGCGAGGCAGAACAGGCAAAACCCCACGAGCCAAACTGCCAAACCCAGCCAAGAAGGCAAGAACACACAACCCACTGCTTCTTCCTTTTCTCCTCTGTCTGTCTCTCTGCTGTCTGCTCGCCAGAACCAGACCAAACCTGACCAACCTAGCACCCACTGGACCGGGACCGTGCCGAAATTCACCGTGCCCTGCTTGGTCCAGCGCGCCGGCTCTGCCTGCAGGCTCCCTCCCGCGATCCGCTCCTCTCTTGAGCTCGACGGGACGGAATCCCAGGGACAGGGGAGAAGGGGAGGAGAACAGCAGCCCGCCGCGGAGGGCCAAGAACCCGACCGGAGGGAGGCAGGGAGGAGTTGAGCGAGCGGCGGAGAGATGGGGCAGGCCCTGCGCAGGCTCTTCGATTCCTTCTTCTCCACCAGGAGATGAGGGTACGTAATGATACCATCTTGCCCCTCTCCCTCCTCTACCTGCGGTTCCTTCCTTCGATTCGATTCGATTGCTTGCTCCACCTGTCTCTTTTGCTTAAGTAGGGCTGCTCGTTCTGGCAACTCCTAGGCTCGTGTTCTAGTTTCTCTTTGGGTTGAAAGAAGGGCATGGTTTAGGCCTGCCTGCTCCTCGAGTGGCTCGGCTCGTCTGGAAATGTGAGGAACGTTGCTTCCGCCCGGTACTGCGCGAGGATTCGGGCGTGTGGGTTGGCGTGGCTTACTTGCTGATGCGATGTTCCGTTGCTAGAGGTAGAGCTTCGATCTTGGTTCTGTACTGGGAGTGGCATGTGAGTATTGAGTATGTGACCAGGGATCCATTGTCATGTGAGTACTGAGTATGTGACCAGGGATCCATTGTTACGGTTTATCTTCATTCCAGGGCTTTTAAGTTAAGTAGGATTCTACTGTTAATTCCAGGGTTCTTTAAGTTCAGTTATTAACTTGTGCCATGCAGAAGCCTATTGAATTCCCAATTCAGTGCTTGGTCACTCTATAGTCCTTCTCTCGCTTTTAAATAAAACTATATCACCCTTGCGGTGAATTGCGAATTTTTAGATCAAGTGGATGGAGGTAGCAGTCAAGGAATTGGCTGTAGATGGGTCTACTGGGTACTGCTTTCTAACCAGCTGATTTTGAGCTGAAAAATGAGTTACCAATTAGCATTCTAGTGATTCTAGCTAAAAATATAGAGGTTCGATATCCTCCTTAAGCCAATTAACACTAACCACTCCGCCAACTTTTTTACTTGTCTTTTTTACAAGAGAAACATCTCTGCTTATAGAAAATACTCTTCCTTTATTCATCCTATCATCCTCCATCAGTTCCAATTTGTCTTTTTTTATCAATGCTTATCTAAGTCTGTCACTACTCACTAATCATGTCACTACCCTCTTCAAGGTTGTGATGCTTGGTCTCGATGCAGCTGGTAAAACAACAATACTGGGTACAGGCTGCGTACATGGGAGAGGTTCTTTCAACAGTCCTACAGTCGGTTGGTGGCCCATATCGTTATTTATTTACTTACCATTTATCTCCAATGCTGAATGATTGCGGCATGCGTGCAGTTTTATTCTATAAACTGACACATTTATTAAGCTTATTATGTGTCTTACCAAATAAAATATCCAACCAAAAAGCTTTTTTCTTTTTTTTTTGCTGAAATACTTGGTGTGATTTGTCTGCTGAGAGTGCATGCTTCAAAAGGCATAATCTGATCTTAATTGGTATCGATTCAGAAACATTTGTGTATATTGCATCTTTATGGTTTGAAAAATGACTTTCCTCAAAGCATTCTTCTTCCAGTCTTGATTTAGAAATTCATGATGATATAAATGTGGAAGATGAATAGTTGAAAGCTGGAAAATGTAATGATGATATAATTTGAATGATTGGATGAGAAAACATTTTTAGTCAGGCTTGTAATATGATTTTTTTCCCACAATTTGAATTTTAGTTTCCTTGTTATTGCAGTTGCTGTTGTAAACGATTTCTTCTAGATCATGTTACTTGACACAACTTTACATGATCAAATGGAGCTATATAGAAACTTCATGCCTAACATAATGCTCTGGAGTCTAGATTGACTTTGGTGCTATCCCCATTTCTCGAGAAAATTGCATAGTTTAGGACTCCAATTGTCGCGCTTAGCAGTTTTGGGATTCCAAATCGACTTCGTAAAATAGGACTCCAAATGTTGGACACTTGATTTATGGCCATTATACGTATTTTCTCTATTTTTTAATCTATACATGTATTAGCCTCCAAAAAAGACTGTGTAACCTAACGCCGTATGAGGGCTCCGACGTTTAAGTCGCCCTAACCGCTGCTGACTTCAACCTCTCGGCTCAGTCAGCCATGAGATCTCAGCCGCCACCACCCTCGATCCCTAGCCTGCGGTGCAGCAGCCATGGACAGCCACCCGCCTGACGCCATGGCGGGCCGCCCCAGGCTAGGCGCAGGAAGCCATGGCTCACTGGCCTTGCTGGTCGCGCCTGATAGGCCCCATGGATGCAAGGGCGTAATGTGTAAATGAAACTGAGGCCAAAATGAAACAGGCAAACATAAAGAGCATCTGTAATGTAATCTATAAATGGCCACAGGGTAAAAAGTCCGTCCAGGTCACAAATACATGGAGGAATAATAGAAAAGTAGAAAATACACACACGGCCATAAAATTAAGTGTCCAATGTTTGGAGTCCTATTTTTACGAAGTCGATGTTTGGAGTCCCAAAACTGCGAAGCGCGACGATTGGAGTCCCAAATATGCAATTTTCTCCCCGCTTTCTCATCCAATGGCTACCTCTGGTAACATAATTTCCATCCTTCCCGCAGGTTTTAATGCAGAAAGGTTCAGTATAAGAATGTGGTATTCACTGTGTGGGATGTGGGTAAGCAAGAAAACTCAGGTCGCTGTGGAAGATGTACACTTGAGTAATTCTGATGCACTAGTAATAACTATTACTTGCAAGTCTATAGACACATGAGTGGCTTCCCCATTATGTCTCTTTGGTCCTCTTGTCTTTCTCAACTCTTGATATGTTGTTAACTTTGTTGCATTGTTCTTCTTCGATTGTAGTTATCCATCCCACAGCCTATATAGTCCCTCAAGGCTAAGCACATTTCAAACTTTTTTTTTTTGCATGGGTAGCTTAGTAAATTGGCGTGCAGAATAGTAAGTGAAGGGCATTTAATCTTCTTGCCCAAGTTTTATTGTTTCAGCTTTCGGGTTTGTTGCAGATCTATGTCGTTGATTCTTTGGACAGAGAAAAGGATTAGAGATCTGAGGCAAGAATTCCAGGTAAAATAGTCATACTACCTCCATCAGTATAAGACTTCCTGGCCCTTAGATCATGTCTATTGATGATGCGATGCCATGCATCCTTTTTCTCCTTCCAGACCATTATCAAGGACCCTTTGATGGCAAACAGCATAATCTTTGGTATTCGCAAACAAACAGGATCTGGTAAGTTAAACTGAGAATTTGGAGTGCTAAGGGCTACCTGTGTATTTTATGACCTTATTCACATGCACGGCTGTTTATTTATTTATGTTTGAAGTCCCTTCTTATAATGAGTAGTTATCACATGTTCTTTTTTATTATTTCAGTTTGTATTGTGTGTCACATTAAATTATTTTGGTAAGGTTATGAGGTATCCATTGTCTTCTTTATTGATTACAGATGGAGCTTTCTGCAGGATAAATTTACCTTACAGAAACAAATTTTACTCTGTCCATATTAGCAAGATGCCAAGATATCAGAGCATTTACTTTAAACAAGGACAAATAAAGACCTTCCTGTCTCAGGAACTCTTGACTCTTAGGAACTATTGAAGCTCTCATGGAACTTTAGAGTACTAAAACGTTTATTTGTTCAGTATGGCTAATTGAAAAACAAGTAAGTTTAGGAACTGCCATGTTGTTAATATCTTCAGACTATGGAAGTCTCAAATGAGCAGTGATCGAGCGGTACTCTGAGACTGATTGATATCTTTCTTGCCCAATACAGAGAGGCCAAAGCGAGGAGCACTGGATGAGGTTAGTGAAGGACTGGGGCTGCATGATCTTAGGAACAGAATATGGCACATACAGGGGACCTGCGCACTCCGTGGTGAGGGAGCCTACTCGGCCCAGACTCGACTGGCTTGGTCCACTCTGAAGCAGTTGCAAGAGTCGGGTCATGCAACTTCAGTTGCTGGCCCTCCCATCTAATCCAGTGGAAGGTTCTGTATCATCTCTGAGCACACAATTGAACCCCTTTTCTCTTTACATTAGTATATGGGATGAACATGAACCTCGATCAGTCAGGGACCATTTTCCTTTGTTTGCACCTGGCATAACTTTTTTCAGTTCTCCTCTAAGAATGTACATGATGTGGGCCTCAACCCATTCTAAAATGCATGTTCTGTTTGTGCAGTGAGCTCAGTGCCTCCAACTCAGCTGGCGGCTCCTGCCGTGATCCGCTGTAAGCCCACAAGAACATGCTCCAGCGCAAGCATTCCTTGGTGTGGCTGCCCACTGATGGAGTTCCTTTACAATGTTGGTATCACATGAGCCAGTTCATCCGCAGGAAACTCTCGATACCTTTCTCCAGAGATTGTTTGTAAATTGTTGAACGAATGTAGATCTTGTGTATACTTGAGAGCTGGTGCACGTGGTTGTTTTTGTTGTTTGTTTGACTGCTTTTGCAACAATAAAGAGATCGTCTGTGATTCTGGTGATTAGAAGCTTTGTCAACTGCTCACAACCCCTGGGAATATATTACGGTGTTTTCTCCCTGCGCTGCTGGAAATTCCGAAATTCCTCGTATGTCGTTGAGGTCTCCAGTGAAACGTGGGCCCAGCGGTTGCATATAATGGATCGACGTGTCACGTGTGAGTGAAATTTCAGTGGTATAGAAAAAAATCTCCTAGATAGAAGGGTAAATCCATCCCATTTTCAGATGATGGATACAACATTTTCCTGGTTTGGCCTTGTTATGAGTGTGTCCAATTCCCTAGGTTCCTTTGGCATGGATAGAAAATCGCAGAGTAGGAAGGATAAATACATCCCATTTGCAGAT